CTCCAGGAATGATGCGGTATCACCACATTAATTCATGTGTATATATATATATACACAGAGGGATTGTGCTGACCACTGTAAGGCTATGAAGCAGTGGTTATGCTGTTTTTGTAGGCCAGAATAATGCGATTGGAACTGCATATTCATTAGCTCAGTGGTAACAGGGCTTCACTCTGAAGTCATGTGGTGGCTTAAGTAGAACAAAAAAGGGAAAGACAGAGAGAGGAGATGCAGCCAGAGTGCAATTAGGGGACTTCTCAGCAACACAAGGAGAACAAATGTGGAGTAAGACAGAGCAGAATCCACTGAGGCTGGGTGATTAGGCTGGGCTTGGACGTCCCCTATGCACCCTTTTCTTCCTCACACACACACGCACACACACACTTCGACTACTTCCCCTCCCCTCCCAAAAGAGAATGGAGACAGTCGCTAGCACGGATCGAAGCCCGCCGTGGTTGGGATTATGTGTCAATTTGCCACCCAGCTGCAGCAGTAGCAGCTCCCAGACGAACATGACTAGCTCTAATTAGGCCATGCTACCAATTACTGCTGATCCGGAGTCAGAGGAAGAGAAGGGATGAAGAGACAGAACCAGAAGAGTTGTGTTTAGCAGATTTTTCTTAACATAAATGTTGAGCCAAGTGGTAGTTCTTTTGTGTGCAAACATTTTTTCATTGTTGTTTTGTACTTCACACTCAGGGCTTGAGGTACTAAGCCTTTTGTGCCAGTTTCTGGTGCAAAGTGGAGGCATTCTGCCCATATGTTATATATAAGACTGGCACACAAACCTAAACATGCAGTATATGAGGCATGTGCATGCAAAAAATATTTCTCTTCCTCATGCATGTGCATTCGAGGGAGGGGCATGCAAAACACAGGAGGGTCACAACAAAAGTGGGCAGAGATATTTACACATGCAGTTAAATACATATTACTAATGTTTGAACAACTCACAGCGACCATTTTTGCATCCTCCACCTTTTAAAACCAGGTGTAAATCCGTGTTATGGTCTCAAAAGACGTTATAGACTTCCTTTAACAACAGCAGCAAACACAGCAGTTAGACGGAGGCACAAGCATTGAACACATGCTAGAAGAATTTTTCCATCAGAACACCACTATTTTAACTATATTATTTTACAGTGCCTTTTAAACTCTGCTCCTCACAAGCAAGCTGTTAGTGGGTGGGGCTGCTCATAGTTTGCATGACAAGCTGCTGTCTTAATAAATCAAATGTTATTGCAAGTTCGATCCCTGGTGATACTACAGCCGTCCGTGGCCGAGAGCCCAAGAGAGCACAATTGGCCTCGCTCTCTCTGGGTGGGAAGGATGCCCCCCCATCTCTCCCATCACCCAGCGTGATGCTAGTTAGCGCAGGCGTCTGTTAGCTGATGTAACAGAACTGCCGGTTGGTGCTTTCCTCCAAACCCATTCAGCTGTCCAAGGACGTTGTGTTAGCGGCATTTAGAAAAGATCCAGTGGTGCTCCACAGGTCTCAGAGGAAGCCTGTGCTGGCTTTTGCCCTCCTAGCGCTGATAGTATCATGTAACTGGGGGAGTCTTAACTAGGTGGTGGAATTGGAAATGACTAAATTCGGGAGAAAATTGGGAAAAGTTAATGTGGGTGCATTGTTTATGCATATTGCAGTAACATCAAGGCACATTTGAGTTGCATCTGCACTTGTATGTACATCTGGCCATGAGTGTTTCTGCAGATTTCTCGAACTTAGAAGATCCATAATGGACAGCAATGAAAAAATGCTGACAATGCCTCATTAATTATCATTTAAAAAATTAATAATAATAATAATAAATCTATCATGCATACCAACAAAAAACCTAGGGCTTGTCTCACAAAGCATGTTCAACTTAGACAGGGTTGTTGACAAGCTTCACATAACCAAACAAACACAGCCACAGCTAACTTTTAAGAAAGTGATTACCATCTTTCTCTGTTAACCCATGCTTAGATTCTCAGCCTATGGTTAATCCTTGTGTGCCTGCACATTAAAGTGTTATGTTTATGGTGAACAACCAATCACTTGAACCATTAACAGTAGCCGGCTTATTTTTCAAGGCAGGAAAAAGAAATACAACGCTGCCTCCACTGCCACAGTCTTAGTGCTTATTGGAGTAACAACTGCTTCATTTTAGCAATAAACATGCAGTATCTTTTCCATATGACTAAAACCACAAATGTCATGAAAAAAGTGACCCAAAACAGATCATCCCTGATAAGTCAGAAGCTTGACTCTGACTGGTTCAAGAGTTATTTATGATCTGTATTCTCAAACTTAACCTGCCCTGGAGCAAGTTAGCCATGGATAGTATTTATTGGATAGCAAAAATAAAAAACCCTTGAAGATCTCTCACAAATAGCGACAAAAACATGGTACAGATAAATATGTTGGAGTCTACTGTTTACTGCACTCTTCTTTGCTGCTGTAAGCAAGAAAGATTCCCATGTGTAGCTGAGTCATCATTCACATGGAAGATGCTAGAAGAGCTGGTGCTGGTCATAGCATCACACTAATTTACCTTCTAGCTCACAGTTAAAAGCACATACAAAATTAAAAAGTCAGTCAAAGGCAAATTGTAACACCAAAGGCTCTGCTGCTGTTTTTTTGGAAAGGACCTTGGCTGTTTTATTGTGCCTTGGGAAACATCCTTTCAGTTGAAACATGCTTGTTAGCAAGATGTTTTTGTAATAAAACCTAAAAGCAGTCAAAATTAGCCTAAAAAAAACAGCATCAAAAGGACAATGTGAGCCCCTTGAGGACATACCTCAATGTGCCCTTTGTTTATTATGTTAAATATGGAAAAGTATGAACTTTTCAAACTCCAGACTGCAGAGCTGAATTTCTTGGAACTACTCAGGTATACCTAATTTGCAGATAAAACCTCTTTAATCAATCACTAACATATAAGAAATAAAATGTTTTTATTTGTGACATTAGCAGAGTCAGCAGCACTTAGCTAGACAGAGAAATAGCCTGTTTGTTTGCTTTGTGAAGTTTCAAAGTAAGCAAGTTCAACCTTGTAGTTTGGCTACGCAAATGAGGCATACACCACATTATGGCTCATCTTTATGTATTCAGTCATATTACAGCTTGCTTAGAGCCGTGAAAAAGGACGTACTGGCACAATAATGTTTCCCCCATGTTTGAGCAGAGACACTTTTGATGAACACTGCCGCAGCATGAAATTGATTTGGTTGATGCAGTCCGTTAGGAGATGACATTGTGGGACAACACTGAGGCAGATTTCTACTTCAGAGTTTAACATTATCATATATCACTGCAAATACTATAAACTCGGCAATATTATTTGTTGTTGCTGTGATTGCCAGCACACAGCATGAGGGACAAGTCAGGAACAACCCAAATACTTGTAAAATGCTCAGTGTTAGATTGATCTCATGGGTTTACGTATGCTTATGACGTGCTGTATATTAGTATTGCTGTAATACTCATATGTCAAACACAAGGCCCACGGGCCAAGTCACGCCCATGACACACTACTATTCAGCCCGCATTTTAATTTTCTATTCTTGTTAGCCCATTTCACCCTGAGATGCACTACAGTCCCCAGCATGCACTGCAGCACAGTGTGCGTTCTGACTCTCTTTCCCCAACAACAGTCTATAGGCCAGTGGTTACACTAAAAGAAAAGATGCCTGGTGTCTAGTTCAAGCAAATAGGCAGTTTTAAAAAAAATCCTAAAACAGTTTCTTTTTTATTTAGAATTATTTTGAATAAGTATTCAATGTCTATTTTGCTGTTGCAGTTTTGGCATATTTTGAATAAGCAACGGCACGTTCAGGTCATGGCAAAATGTCAAGTAAAAATGAAATAAAAACACAGCTGGCCCACAGCTTTGCTGAGGTTTTTTAATGTCACCCTTTTAGTAGTTGAGTTTGACAGTGTGCTCTAATACATAATGGTAATGATGAGATCAATCTAAAATGATACATCTCTCAGATATTTGGGTGGTTCCTGGCTTTTCACTCATACTGTATAATCTGTTCGGCAAGGCTCTTGTTCACTAGGTCCAACTTCATTATGATGTGGAAAGATCAAAATAAACCAGGCAAAGGCAGATGAGGCCTAATTCTGATGCCAAGCAAATTCACGTGTGCCCTGTCAAATGTTCAGCCAACTTGAATTATTTCTTGGATCACCTCATAGACTTCATGACAACATGAAAACATTTACATGTTTGCCAATGTATGAAAACATATACTATGTCTACTCTTACTGAGACATAATATATGGGTAAAGCTTTATTTTAAGGAAGACAGTTTTTACATTTAGATAACATTGCACGCTCAATCATTTACTTTACAGGGTCTAGTGCATAATTCATTAATGATTTTTCACATCACAGATCTTCAATTATATATTAATACAGATCATTAATGCACAGTGAATAAACCATTTAAAAGTGTCAGAAACACTTTACTGAAATCCACCATTCATCAAGCTACACAACACCTACATAAGCCTTTCATTATAACTAGCATTAACCTATGCAGACATTAAAAAAAGCTTATTCCAAAAAGCATCAGTTGTCATAACACTTTCTGTTTAAGTCTAATGCTACTTTTATGCATCAGCAAAAAATCTTCTCCACACAAGCTGCAGTGGCCTAAAATGAACCAGTCTCAAGCAGGTTGCTGAACACTAGTGAATGGTAGATGGCTTGTGACTCATTCATCATCGTTCCCTCTCAGGCATGCCACCAGAGCTGGCTGTTTGCTCACTAACTGTGCTTGGCGTCCTTCACTGTGTTAGCCTGGAGTGTGACTTGCTAACGGCTTCACCTTCATCACCACAGGGAACACAGATTATTATAATTCACTGGTAGTACTAATTTGCTGAGATACACTTAACTGAAGAGTCAAGGAGGATTATAGACTATAAAATGTAAGTTATTAGATGCGCTGTATGTCGGTTGTCACTGTGGTTAATTTATCACCCACCTCTTCTCGTCCCACTGCAGGCAGCCAGGGGCAGTTCCCCGTCACCCAGAATGTGACAGTAGTGGAGGGGAGCACAGCCAACATGACCTGCCGTGTGGATTACAATGATAACACCTCCCTCCAGTGGTCAAACCCTGCACAGCAGACGCTCTTCTTCGGGGACAAGAAAGGTCAGTGTGACGGGATTGTTTTGAAAGCCTTTCTTCTGTGGATCTAAGTGTGCTACTATGTGAGGCAGCCGAGAAGTCAGTCATACTGAACCAAAGAGTGACTATATAGATATTTTATGGATGTATGACAGTATATAGAAATGCATTGTGTTAGACAGCATATAGATCTATATCTATATCTATGTATGAAGGTTGCAATTGTTGTTATTTTGGAATTAATACCACCTCTTTCTTTAAGACAACGTACATTGTCAGCTATCATACTATTCAAACCAATTTAAATCCAAAAATTGTTACAAATGGATATGCAGCATTTTGGAATGTGAAACTCTTTATATATGGTATTCAGTGCAGACCACTCAGTGTCAGAGAACACTCGTCATTCCTTTAATTTCCAGTCAGAGTGGCCATTAAACTTCAACAATTAACTATGGTTTCATTTTTTCTGTATTTAGTGTGCCCATTTTTTTGCCGTTGTTACAGCTTGTATTTTTCTGTCAGACTTTTCATTCATTTTTTCAAAAAAATCTGCAGGGATATTTTTCCACACCTATAAAGTTCAATCTTAGAAGTTAGTTGCATTTTCTGCTTCTCACGATCCAAATAAACACAAACACATTCTGTGATGTTGAGGTCTGGACTCAGGGGCGGTCAGTCCATTGTTCTTAGAACTGATTCATTTTTCTCAGTAAGGGCTTCTTGGCAGCTACACATCCTCTCAGAGTATTTTTCAGAGTACTGTGTATTTTTTCAGATATGAAGCAAGAGTGGAGCTTGATTTTCTCTTGTCTTTCAAAAATAGATTTAAGACAGGAAAAGCTTTAAATACTGTTTATTTGATGGTGACAGTTTTGGTGCTCCACCAGCTCTTGTGTGGTCATTAGGAGTCCCATTTCTCTGCATCTATTAATTATTTTTGGCCTCTAGTTTTCTGTTTAGTGGATTGTCTTATATGCAGTCTCTTCAGAAATGGCTCCTAAAAATTAAAAACTTGTACTTAATGGCTGTTTTGACTAGAAAGCAAAGGAAGGTCTTTGACTGTTTCACTGTATTGTATGTAGGACTGAATAATTTGCTGCAAATATCTACTGTGCTGTTTATATTACAAAATCATTCATGGATGCCAATGATTGTTACATTATTGTTAGTTCTATGCCAATTGTAAAAATGCAGAGATACTCTTTCTGGATCTTCAGTAGCACGGCTCCATGCCAAGATATAGGATGCAATTAGCTGGGAAGCAAAGTCCTAGGCTAATATGTGTACACTAGGTGAAGTTCATGGTGAGCTTTTTATGTCTGCAAAATACAAAGTCATACTGCCCTCTATAAACCCAATGGATTATCATCTAGTATAACTGCAAAATCTCAGAACACAGATCGAAGTTGTGTTGCCCAATGTGCCACAGGTGTGTCGAGTGTGTATAATGTCTGGCCTTTCCTGAGAACAAAACTGGTCATGTTTTCCTTGATACATTGTACAGATCTTGCTCAATTGAACTAAACTCATAGCGACACCTGCTAAAGCTGAGTGCAGCAACTTTGTAGCTGTGAAAGTCATTCAGCGGGAAAGTGAGAGTATTTCAAGCATCTCTCTATTCAATACACATTTCATTCACGCAGGTATGCAGGTAGCTTTTCAGTGTTTTGGAGGAAGTAATGTGGAGCGGGCTCTGACTGGGCTGCTCCGTCAGAATCTGGGCTGTTTCTCTGCTGAAAAAGAGCAGCTTCATTAGCCTGCTACAGGGTGCAGCACAAACACTGACATTTAAGGCTTTGTATGCGTGTGTGTATGTGTGTCTGTGAAAATGATTTCTCACATTTGAAAGCATGTATCGCCTCTCTCGTGCGCTCAGATCTTTGTTCCGCCATGGGAAATATACGATTCTCACCGCAACCCCCTTTGGTAGATAAGTGACAAGGGTGTATATTGGCAAAGTCTGCAGCTTTCAAATACCACTGCTTCTCTTCTTGGGTTTTTGCAAAGGAAACAGCTTCTGCAGTCTGTCAGAGCTTTCTGGCATATTTTTAATCTAAAGCTAAACTTGGCTGAGCACAACTCTGTGTGGCCTGTGAATTCACCTCAGCATTTGTTCATAAGAATTCTTAGAAAACAGTTGGTCTGAAAAGTGTGAAAAATCTGCAGGTGATTGAGGTTAGGGCTACAGACAGTTTACTGTTCAATAAAATTCAACAAAGACGCATGAAGAACTTTCAGATGGTCTCTCTAACAGATCATTAGTCATCATTACTTTATTGGCCTTGAATTGCAGACATTGTTAGGAATAATCGTGGTAGTAGTTTCAGCATGCGTCTTGTCCACAGCTTGTGTGTAGGTGCTAAATCTAATTTTAAGTTTGCAGGTAACCTCTTTCATTTGCCCTCTGAATTCTGGCAAGGTATAAAGAGCATAAGTGGCTCTCAGCTGAACTTCATCTTTACTTGTTCTTGGCACACTTTTCTCACACTAGAGGAACTTGAGCTTGCAAGGCTTTTTCCTTCTCTTTGTACTTTTAAGCATCCAGATGTGAGATGTTGGCACATCTAGCGCATTAGCCGTGGGGGACAGTGAGACAGAGTCCAAGAGGATTCAAAACTCACACTGACACACACATACTGGAGGGGACGGGTGGCCTGGCAAAACTTCTAGACTCTTTCAATGCTTGGCAACTAATGTATACCTCCTTCTTCTTCATAGACATGAGGACAGATTTGCTGTTGGTAAGGCAGAGTAAAACTGATCGGACTGTGATCTATACCACTGAGACATGGCGGCGCATTGACTGTGCCAAAGACTGATTGAGACAACTGTGCTTTTTAGTGGTGGAATATGAGGGTAATTAAATGGACAGTAGAGGAGAGTCCCGACTTGCAGCATGTATTGATGTGGTGTAAGACACATGGTGACAAAAAAAGATGCTGTTTGTTGTGCTGGCACCCTCACAAGCCCACAGGCAGCAGAAACACAACCTGCTGCAGCTGTCTTTTAGAGATTTATTCTGTCACGAACTTTAGAGTTAGAATCGCTTAGCCTTGTTTATCTCTGATCACATATGGTTGCCCAAAAAATTGACTAATTTCTTCTAAGATATCTTTGTAAGAGGGGACTTTTTAGTTTTATATTTATAAGTTCTGCTGATCTCTTTACATAAAAAATGAGGTATCAGTTGAGTTTAACTACTTACTGTCCAGGCCTAGCACTGTAGATTGAAATCTGAAGGGAAGAAAAACAACCAGCGTAGTTTTGTGCACCTGTAGGCCAAAAAATACGGTGTGGTAAATAATGTAAACTGCATCGTTTAAAGCTGCGTTCTCTGAGGGACTAAAGCGCCTTTGTCAGCACCAGGCTGGAGTGGTGAGCTGCTCCTGAGGGAACACTGCCCAATAACAGAGTCCACTCTTAGAAAGAGCAGAGATGGAGACAGCAAAAGCAAATGACAAAATGGTCACAATTAGGCCTGGGGATTGCACTTGAAGGATCACCACGCTGAAGTGGCCTCAAGGCCATATGGTCTCATCTCAAGTGATCTGTAGCTCCTGCACCTGCATGTATGAAAGGAGTATTTTTTTCCTTTGCTGCTTTTTCAGAAATCCAACTCTTTTATGTTCAGTTCAATTAGTAAAAATGAGTCACAATGTTGTTATTGAAGTTTTACAAACAGAAGCTGTTTACAAAAGTGCTCTTCGTTTCTTCCACATGTTGCCAGAAAATGCTACTGTTCAGAAATTTAAAGCAATTTAATTTGCGCTTATCGGATCCTGGTTGATTGGACAGCCTGCTAGGAACCCAGAAATAACATGAATTCCAGAGAAAATTAAAATAAGCCCTCGTCCTTTGCTGCCAACCTGTCAACCCATGTAATAAGACTATAATTAAAATTAGTGAAAGCCCCATTAAGATGGCAGCTATTTGTGCCCAATATTAATATCAATAATTAGTTGATGCATCACCATCCTTAGTTTTATATTCATTTCATCCATTTGCATGTTTTTTTCATATGCACCATATTAGTTCATCTGGAATGGAAGGTGCATTAGTCAGCAGCATGCTATTTAATCCTCCTTCGTCATAATTACATTTCTGCCCAGTGCTTCTGGTGCATGACATCACATATCAACATCCATAGGTACCGTAATAGGACTCACACAGTGCACATGGCTCAAGTGAATAATCGGCTTAGGTTATATTTGCTATTTGCTGCCTAAATTAACATCTGCTTAAGTCTACAGTCTCATTCTGCTGTGAATGGCTACAGCAGGGGTGCTAAATTGTGCTTTTAGAGATGTGTTCACCCCACAGAGTTTACTTTCAACCTCAATCCAACACACACAATACACCTACTCAAAGCACTCAGAAACAAGTGAATATCAGAGGGTGTTAAGTTACAGTTGGAGCTAAACTTTGTAGGAAGATGGATATCTGGGAACAGGGTTAGCCAACCATGGGCTACAAAATATAACGTATGCTACCCTGCAAAGACAAAGAGCAGAAACTACACCAACAAAGAAACTGCTTCAACTTTTTCTTGTTGTATTGCCAGATATATTGTATATGTACTCATTAATGAGATTAACTGGTGTGTATAATCACACTGAATTGCCAACTCATTAGGCACCTACATTCATTGGCCATTTTTTCAGAAACACCATTGTATACAATGAATATGAAAAGTCCACACACCCTTATTGCAATATTTGTGATATAAACCAAAAATTAGGACACACTGTGTCAGACATTTTTCATATAAATTATTCTTTACAACTGAACTTAGCAATTTTATTCCATTCTACCTTGTGAAAACATTCAAGCTTCTTTAAGTGGCCAGATGATCTCCTGTGTACAGCTCAATCCAGGTGATTTCACTGGTGTTGTATAGCAACGTTTCTGAACCTTGGTCCTGGAGACCCACTGCCCTGCAAATTTTTTTTTTGTTGTTGTTTTTTTCTGCTGCCAACACATCTGATCCAACTAATCAGGTCATTAATAATCGATTATTGAGT